TCGCATTTTTAGCCATATCCGTGATACAGTCCCGCAACTCAAACTTTATACTGTAATTTCTCACAAACAAAGGCCCATTGGAACAAACTCCAATTAAGACTTTGATGCTTAACATTGCAGCTATTGAACGTGCTATGTCTCGTTCAGAAATCGATTTAGTAGGTTGTGGCATCTTCTTGTGAGAGTAAATTTGCTCTAAGAATAAATTTATCTAAGGATAATCTGATTTGAGAATAATCTGGTCTGAGAATAATCTGATCTGAGAGTAATCTGATCTGAGAATGATCTGATCCGAGAATGATTTGATCTGAGAATGCGCTCGCGACGCGGAGTCGCGGTTTTTAAAGGATATGAGTCGGGGGTAGTTTGGGTTGCAAAATGTAAATTTTCGGGGATACTTGTTGCTGGATTCGTTAGAAGTGGGATGTGTTTTGCGGCCAGTAATGCTTTAAAGAAAAGGATTAGGAAGATTTCTTTTGCTGGGGTTGTGGGTGGAGAAAAATCGCGTGTTTTGGAGAGGTACTGATTGGAGGAATTTCGAGGTGGTGAGGGGATTTTCAGGACGAGTTATCGAGGATGATGTAACTCGGGAACTGAGGCAATATGATCCGTGAGACAATGGATATTTTCCTTTTTAGGGTTTAGCGGTTTCTTTTGATCTATAAGTAAAGTCTCAGGTCCGACGGGATAGGTTTCTGTAGTTAAAAAGATTTCAATTACGTGCTTCTCAGGGTTGCATCTGGGATTACCGCCGAAATTTTATTGAAAAAATCCTGCAATTGAAGGAAAATTATTTATGGTGCTGTTTTCCAGATGCATCCCGAATGAGAAAAAAATAAAATATACGAAGGTGGATCAATAAGTACCAGTGTTAGGAATGAAGAAGCAAGTTTTTCATCAAAATTTTTTGCTAAATGGGGCTGTGTCTCCTTTAATTTCTCGTCGAATCAGTTCAATAATTCACTGTAGAATTGCCCCGTGATCGTACTTCCTTTCTCCAAAAAATCCATAAGGATTATTCCCTTCGAATCGTGGCCATGACTTTTTCGGCCGATGGGACTGTCTTTGCCTTCTTTGGAACAGATTCGCTCGGAAAAGTCCATTGTTTTGACTGTTGCTTGGTCTTTGACGTATAGTGATGGATTCAGGTTTTATCAACAGTGACTCAACGCAAAAACTCCTACGGATTTCGCTTAAAGAGGTCCAAACACTGCTTTGAAATTGACAGCTGAATCCATTTGTTGTCCACCGTTAATAATTGCGGCACTCATCGTCAGCTTTCTCATTCTTAACTTATCATGTAAAATATTAATTGCCGTTCCGTACGATATACCTACGGCCTCTGCTATGTCGTACACTTTCGTTCGGCGATCAGCGAGAATCATGTCGTGGACCTTTTGAACGATTTCCTCAGTAACCACATCTGCTGAGCGGTCTGGGCGCTTCTCATAAAAAACAGACATTGTACGGCTACATTTGAATTCGTTGAATCAATATCTCACGGTTGTCATAGATGGTGAAGGGTCCCTATAAACAGCATCCAACTTCGCTTTTATTTTTCGCATGTTTCTTCATCCAAAAATAAAAAGTGAATTACGGATCGATATTGCTCTTTTTCCATTATATCGAAAAACACCAAACACGTTTAATATAAAAAACTCTCAAATCAAAATTAACCTGTAAATCAGTCTGAAATTTTGTATGGCGTCATTTGAAAGATGGTAGTACACGATGGTAATGACAACTTCTCTCAGCAACGCCACCTGTCTTCAAATACGGGTACCAATTGATCCATCCTCGTATGCTTCACGTCTGTGCAATATCAAGTAAGAAAAAATATATGGTGCTATTTAAAAAAGATGATGTTAATTTCTTTATAAGAAAAATTTTTTTACTTTTTGTTATTGCAAGTTACAACGAAGCAATTTAAAATTTATTGAAAATATCTGACTTTTTCCTTAAATATCGGAAATGTCTAAAAAATTGTGCGGACTGTTATGATAAACACCCTGTATATTGCTGAAATTATTATAATTATAAACACATCAAGAATTGCCTATTTATACTAAAAAATGAGATAAATTGAGAGAAAAGAAGATAGTATATAAAAAATTATTAATTACATATCCAAAATTAAGTAATGAGAAAAAAAATGAATATTCCACCAAAAAACATATTGATGGGGCTCGCCATCGGCGCCAAATAAGTTGGGATGCGTGCCTTAGTGTACTCGATACCACGATATTTCATTAACCATTAAGAGTGGGCACGTGTCGGTCATTTCTCCGTACTTTTTCGTTTTCTACTTATATCATCTAATCTATTAACATTATCGTATTTTCGCTTTTACGTAAATTTTTTTTTATGTTCTCTCGTGTAGCATAGAGAAGTAGACGGCGCAGACGCGCTTATTTCTATGTGAAATTTAATATGTTTTTAGCAGTCAGTCTAAAAGACCATAATGCGCCTACTAACGTTAGTCTCTTATCTCTGCCGCGTCAGCGTCGCTTGATGTCGCCGAACGTCTATTGTCTTTCCGACATCGTAGTTGGACGGACGGTTCTCTCTTTTTTGTTGAATCAATAAAATTTTCAACAGCATGCATAATTGGAGTATATATTCTTGATTCAATAGCGATATTATTAAAATTAATACTTAAATTATTGAAACAATACATAATGTGATAATTTTAATATTGCCATTAAATCAAGAAGATTTATTCTCTATTTCTAAATTTATCAAATAAATTTTTAAGTTTATTAAATCAACGTTTAAGTTAATCAAAATAAAACGAGAGAATTAAGAAATTCTTATTTTATTTTATTAAACTAAAAGAATGTCATTTTTTACTAATGCAGTTAAAATAAAAATATTATAATTTTATTTTGAATATATTCACATATGTAGAATAAGTTTTATATGTTTCCTAAACATATTAGATATAGAAATGAGTAAAGAGAAAAAAAGATGAGAAAAAGAAGAAATAGTGAGAGACATAAAAAAATTACTTCCTTCAATTATTATGTTTCTTTTAATAATTGGATTGGTAATTTATTAATTATTACTTAATTATTACATATATACATATGTGCTTTAATATATTTCGGTCGAAATGACCGATACGCGCCCATCCGCCCACCCTCTTGGGTTAATGGAACACATTAATTTAGGGACACCCAGCGTTTACATTTCTACTTCTTAACGTGCGTTACTCAATTCTTAATCCACAAACCATATAAGTTAATTGATATACATATCATTTCTGCACTGAGGAAAATTAAATCATTAACCGAAATGTTTGCGAAGTTTATAACTATTATTTATAATTGTTTTTTATTGTAAATATTATATTAAATTTATCGTACATTTTGCGTTTGACTTCTATTAATCTTATTTTATTTCAGAGATTGTATATTACTTGAGTTTTTACAAATTTTCTTATTTTAACAAAGATTTTATAACATAAGATTTTATAATAAGATTAAAATTTTATTAAATTTACGTTTACTTTTAGAAATTCTAATGAAAAAAGTAAATATCATAAATCATTGATTATTAAATAAATATTAATTCAAAATTGAACAGAAATTATTGCTATGTCATTGCCCGAAAATAATGTTTAGAAATAGTTATCTATAGTTATACATATATAAAAATACATAACATATTCAGGGTGTCCGGTAACTGATCGAGCAACCGCCGTGTACGGGCAGAACAAAGAAAAATAATCATAAAAGTTATATACCATTTTGAAATGATCTCTGTATTTATTCCGTAATTAATTAAAATATATAAGCGAATGAGCTCACGAGAAGCGGTAGAACAGTGTGTGTAAAAGAAATGGCTTACTTCTTAGCAACAATGAATAAACAGCTGATTTCGAGGCGAAGTAACAAGCGATACGTATACGTTACTCTGCCTCGAAATCAGTTGTTTACTTATCGTTGCTAAGAGGTAAGCCATTTCTTTTATACACTGTCTGTTCTACCGCTTCTCGTGAGCTCATTCGCTTATACATTTTAATTAATTACAGAATAAATATTGAGGACATTTCAAAATAGTATATAACTTTTATGATTATTTTGACATGTTCTACCCGTATACGGCGGTTGCTCAATCAGTTACCGGACACCCTGTATATGCTTATATACAGGGTGAGTCATCTGAATCTATCACCTCCAATAACTCGTTTGTGTGGCCAGGAATCGAAAAAAGTTTCATATAAAAGTTGTAGGGTTTCGAGGGGGAACCAAAATGGCGTACCTTTCAACTTTTGATTTTGACCGAAAGTGGGTTACTTCAACCGGAAGTGGTTTTTTTAAAATGGAAACCCCCCTTTTTGACACCGGAAAATGAAAAAGCGGAAAATTTTACGTTCAGATATAACTTTGGCTGTTTTAAAATTTTCAAGATGGCGGACGAAGATGGCGGACAAAAATTTTAGTCAACCGATTTGCACCAAATTAAGTTTACGAGGGTTTTTGAGGTTGCTGATCACGAATCTGAAGTCAGATTTGCAACTCAAATTTGCAAGTCAAATTCAAACAGTTAATTCGCTAAGTGTACTACTTAGCGAATTAACTATTTGAAGTTACAAATTAACTAAATAAAGCACCCCG